GGGGGGGGGGGGGGGGGGGAACGGCAGTAACAAATCAAATTTGCATTTACGAAGAAACTAAAACAAATTAAATTTGGGTAATCCGATAATGTTTGCTACCACGTATTTCAGTATCTTAATGTTTCCCTCGTGTATATAAGAATAAAAATTAAAATAGCTTAGCAAGTTAAAATTAAGTAAGTTTAGTATTGGTCAAATACGCTGATGAATTATTTTATTTTAGATTATTGATATTATTTAATAGCATAGCCTTATTAAATAACAATGCAACCGACTGTTAAATAATTGACGGTGTATGATAAAGATGCCCCCATCTGACAACATAATGGCCAATAGGAATTTTTTAGCTGAAAGGAAATCCAACAATACTGCATATCGTGGTCATCTTCGGCTTGTCGCCTACTTCAGCACTATCTTTGGAATTCGGAATTTCTTCTTTCTTCCCAGGTAGTCATATAATTGTTCTTGGTATTTATTGACTGTAAATAGCAGCGAGGGTACATGCAACTCTTGTCTTAATGTATTCACTGTTTCTTGGCTATCATAACCTGAACTTGCAAGAAGCGAATTTCAGCTATCCAGTTATCTTTCGTTACTCAGTCCGGATTCAGATTGCTGAGCCATACAACAATGCAAAGATCTGATAAAACTTTAAGAGTGTATCTTCCTCTCTCATCTTTTCCAAAATATCAATTTTGTTGTTGTACAACAAAATTTACGTTTGTTTAGTTTAGCTACCGTATCATAAAACATGAAATCTGTTTCATTACATTGCCATCAATAATAATTTTTGCAACAACGGGATATTTGCCATTGAACGTAAGGAATTTTCTTTGTTTTCAAAATAATTCTTGGTCTAAAATGGAAGAAAAGGGGAGAGGGTTATTGCAAGTTGGAGAGTAGTTAACTTTTTTATTGACTGGGATATTACGACACGTGCTTCGTCGTTGTCTGTACTTGTAAATGGTGGCAGCACAATACTCATCGACGTGGCGTTTGCCATCGATAACTATGTCTGTGGTTATGATAATGCGTTGCGCTTGTGGTTTGTTGTGGCTGTCAAGGAGCACAATTTGTACCAATGAGTTGTTGTTGTCGCAATGTCAGGACACAGGCATGGCTGTGATGGAGATCATAATCACGACGAAACACCAGAAATGGGATTGCAGTATAGCTTGTATTCCAAAATTGATCTTGAAAATCTAGAATGCCTGAATGAGAAAAGTGAGGGTTCCGGGAAAAACGTATTTAAAGTATGGGAAGATCGATTGAATTTTGAAAAGGTTAGCGATTAGTATCGTAGTATTTATACAAAACTCTGGTCCAAAATTAGTTTTGTTCTTTTAGTAAGGCATAGTAATAAATAAAGTTTTCTACATGGAAAATGTTTGGTTAGAAACTTGATAAACTTAAAAATTTTCTTTGAAATCTTGGGAAACACTGCGGTAAACAGAGGATAGCTTGAACTTCAATATAGACTAACCGTGATTTTTTAAGACCATGTGAGTTTTAGTTTTCTTCTAACACAGTTCCCTTTAAAAAAGTTTATTTGCATAGAGATACTGGATCTCCTGTCATTTTTGTTTTTCACACCTTATTGGATTTGCTTTCCAGAGCATGCCTCAAACTGGGGAGGTCCTAGTTTTAAAACTCAGCCTGAAGAATAGCTATTCTTAATGAGATTTTTGTACTTTCTCTCAATCCTTTCAGACAGATACCAGGATAGTGCCTTGAATTGTACCACAACATCTTCCTCCTATATTCTTTCCAGTTTGTTGTTCAGTAATTATTCTATCATTCATCACTATATTATCTGAGATACTGACTGCATTAATAACAAATACCTACTATAGCTTTCATTTTATTGTTTTTTATGTTCATTCCTTGTATGAACTTAATGGGCAGGATTTGTCCTTAAATCCAACCCTATGTAACATTAGCCTTCCCTTCATGTGCTATATTCCTTTATCACAAACAAATCTGTGCCAATCGAATCATACAATTATAAGTATTATATCTGATTTTGAGAAAGGTTGCATTGCAATTAAGATAAGATTTTATTTTATTTGTGTATTGACAGTTATTATTCAACTTTAAAGCAAGTAATGATCAACTTTCTTATTTATACATACATGTTAGATGCTGCCCTTTATCATATTATAAGTCAAATTTACTTTATTATTTCACACATCTGCTAAAAGGTTAACATTTTTCTTTGGTCTGGTAATATTTTGCTTCTTACATTTATTTTTAATGTGGCCTTGAATTAGAATGTGTACTGTATGTCCATGCAGAACAAAATGCATTACTAATTGAATAAACTTTTTTTTTACAGTATGTGGAGAGTGATGTTGATGAAGAACTGCTATTTAATGTTCCGTAAGTTTCAAGTTTATTTTATATTTGCTTACCCTTCCCATTTTTACAGTTGTGCAGAATATAAGCATTGGATAGAGTACAAATGATTCCGAGAAGGAACATTATCATTTTAGTTAAAAAAACTCACTTCACTAACTTATTATTTTACAGTAACAGGTGCATCAGATCTTGTAGTAAACTCATTAAAAAATTAAATGGAATTTACTGTCTTGATATAAAAACAACGTCTGGTATTCTCAGCCTGAAAAATAGAAGCATTGCTTGGTCCCTTATATATTAAATACTTATGTATTTATAGTTTAATGTTTCTGACAGTAGCTCAGATTCTGTAGCATCAAATTTCAAATGAATTGGAAAGTATATATAAGGAAGTGGTTGTGGCATAATTTGAGTTATCCTGGTACTTATCTGGAGGCTCTGAGGAAAATCACAGATAATCCACAATCTTCATAAAATTGTCTTGGGTTATCAGCCATTTCAGTTGGTTAAATATCAATGTTTCAGGGACCAGCTCTGTCCAATCATCAGGATTGGACATCACATTAAATCTTGAGAATGGGGATGGAGTTGGTCCCTAAAAGATTGGTGATTTTTAACCACCTGACGGGGCTGTTAGCCCATGAAGATTTTATTAATGTTAGTCACCATGAAAGCTTGAGATCATACAGGGTTTATAGTCTTAATATGAATTACTCTGATTTCTCCTGACTGTTGTACCGTAAGGTTTTGAAAACTATCTTTTAAGCTCAGTTACGTTGAAACAGTACATTTCCAAATGAACTGCATTTGTGATTGATATATTTTGCTTCTTCTGAATTTTTTCAGATTCACAGGAATTGTGAAGTTGAAAGGTGTTATTGTCATTGGTGGAGAAATGGATTCACACCCATCAAAAATGAAATTGTAAGTGTATGTAATTTCTGATCCAAGTAGTCACACATTTTAAGGCAGTCAGGTTCTTGGAAAGTTTACCAAGGGCATGGACATTGATCACTGTAATTCTTTGTTGGAGAGACTTTGCAGTGGGCAGATGTCCCATTTAAGAAAGAAGTCTTACTTCTTGTTCTGTGATAAAACTAAACAATGTGTGAAACTGACCACCATATCCATATTTATGTTTGATAATTCCAAAATGTTATGGACAGAAGTGAATATAGTGATATTGTGACAGGTAGGCTGGGCAACTGCTGAATAGTGGCTAAAGTTAAAGGCAGCTATAGCTAAGGGCTTCTTAGTATTGCCACATTTGAAGCATGGCTCCTATCCTTTGAACTTTTGAAGCTACAACATTATATGATGTTCAGTTAGTAACTGTTGTTTGTTTTCTGAATAGTGTAGAAGAGGAGTGGGAATTTTGTTTGAGGAAGAAGATATACTGCCAAAATTAAATTGATTAATCCTACTTGATTTGAAGACTTTAACTCTGTGCTGTTTATTCTAAGATTAGATTTACACTAGTTAAAGACGTGTGATACGTTATTCATGACATGGAAAAATTGAAAAATAAACTTATCCATTATAACATAATAGAAACCTGTCATGTGCTGACTCAAAAATAGTCTGATTAATTCTAATTAATGATTAGCTATTAAAATGTTTGAGCAAAATCATTCTCATTTGAAATTAATGTTTATGACATTGCTTTAATTATTATAAAAAGTTTAATGTCTGCTTTTGCTTGTGAACAATATTGCAGGTATAAAAATCGACCACACATGACATTTGACGATGTTAGCGCACCAGTGGATCAGGAGTTTGACCTTCATCCAGATAATACAGGAACATTAGAATATTCCACAAAGTTAGTATTTATATATGTAGGCTTAGCTGTGAGTGTTGTTATAAAATGATAAAACAATTTATTTTTATTTTTGAAGATAAATTATATTAATAGGCAATGACCATAAGGTCTGTGCAACATGCAAAATATTAATTTGCATATCTTAAACATAACCTCAGTTCACTTAATTTCAAAATCCTTTTACAGGTAAGTTATCCTTTATAAGTGTCTTGTATTTTTCCATGCAGATAATTCCCTTATTAGCAAAGCGGTTTATAAGTTGGATACTTTAGTTTTTACCATTTATTGGATAATCATTCTAGTTATATTTTGTTTGTAATGTATAAATGTTTTGCAGGGTAGTGAAGTTTTCTTCAGTCCATCATCTGACATTGTATTTTCCAAGAAACTTTGGAAGTGAAACAACCAAAATATATTACATTGGCTTGAGAGGAGAATTTTCTGAAGCCCATCGCCATGGTGTTACGATCTGTACATATGAAAGCAGTCCTAATGTTGCTGACCACAAGACAAGTGCATTTGATTCTGTGAGCCATGAAGTACAATGATAGGTAATTATTGTGATATTTCTATAAGCAGAATGAGTATGCAAGTTTCTGGTAAAAGTTCATTGCTATTTCATTATCTGTCATTTATGGTTATGAGTTTGTAGCACTGGTATGATTAAAAGCACTTTAAGCTGTTGAGACTATTAACACTTTTCCACATATTCTGTCCTGTTAGGTCCATTTACAATATGAAGATGTCTGTCTTCTATGTTATAGCACCATGTAATCTGGTAGAACTTGACCAATGTTTCGGAGGTCCTTGCTGCCTCCATCATCTTTCATTGCTCTGCTAATGGAGCCACCAAGGACTTTTAAAATGTTGGTAAAAATCTATCAAGATTACATGGCACTACAACCCAGAAGAAAGATGTCTTCATGCTCACTGCTGTGAGAACCTCAGATCCTACACATACAGTATATCTAACATCGGTAAACTGGCGAATATTGTAATGAAAGAATATTCCACTCCAGGCTAATTATTGGTTCAGGTGACACATCAGCACAGTTGTTAAGCAATATGATCAGAGTCCAAACATACCCTTACAACAGTCCTGTCCTCTGTAATCAGTATTGATGATAAGAAATAGTATGTCATAATTTTTACTGTTTGCTGGAACACAGTAAAACAGATAATCAGTCCATTTTAAGCAGCATGCGACCAAATACGCAGTCGATCAGGAGCGTAGAAAAGTCCTATGGAGCCATATATGTTATGATTTCTGAAGACTGCCACGCATTTATCAAGTAGAGAGAAATGGTTGTGTTGAGGGGGGGCCGACTGATGGATAGGTTGTAGGACGGGTAGTAGAATGTAACTAAGTAATGAAATGAGTAGAGTAGAAGAATATGGTAGTTGAATTGTTCATTAAATTAGTGATTGTGAGCAGTTGTGTATTAACACTACTGTACTTATGCAGTCACTGCACGAGTTATTGAAAATCAGCAGCAGAAATAAGGGGAAGGGTTATTATAGACTCTTGGATATTCACATGTGACTCAGTGTTGCCAGAAAATTATTCTTGTGCTGGTGATGTAGCACCTACAAAGTGCTGATTTCTTGTAGAAGTTTGAAGGAGGACACAGACCATAACCATGACAAACAAGATGAGGTTGCAGTTCAGAGCATACAGTAGAAATGGTTATATAATGAAGATACCTAGATAACTCCATCAAACACAGTACTTGAGAAGCTGATACTTGCTCGGCTGGCCAAGAATTTCTCTGCGTTATTTGGAACCTGGTAGTTTGTACTGTATTTATGAGAGCCCGTCACCTGGTACTATCCTGAGCTGACTTAATCCATTCTACACCTGCATTGTCTATTGCTTTAAGATTTATTTAAATATATTATTAGCTCTCTGAAGTTGTTTATCTCTTTCCTTCAGATATTCTGACCATGTCTGAGGAACTGCATAAAATTTTGTAACACTACTTTTTTACATTGAGGAATTGTTAGCCTCTTCCCACCTCCACCTCCATTTTGCAGGACCACTTCTCCTCTCTTTATGCAGTGTGTTTACAGCTACACTGTTTGGAGACTGTCTCTTCCATTTACAACCTGAGGAAGATACGGCATGGAATGTTTCCAGGGACATGACATCTCTCCTCATATGAGCTGAAAGGTATTTCAAGTGTCCATTGTTGTGAGGGAACTTTGAAATTGAAGCATTCTTACTTATGCAGGTTATAGATACATTGTTCCTATTACATATTTCCTCCCACAAGTGATGCTGCTGTAGCATTAATGTGGAATCATCACTAGCTCTTCAAGTGAAAAATGTTAAAAGTTAAATTTCTCTCAAATATCCAGAATTTTAATTCAAAAGAAAGTAGAACTTAATCTGTTCTGTGTTTGATAATATTTATTAATAATTCTTACTACATGGTTTCAATTTTTGTGACATGAATTTATTACTTTTAAATGTTTCGTTAAACATATTATAATATTATTACTTCAAGTGCCATACTTTGATATGCCTTATAAATTGGGTGGCATATTGAATTCACTTAAGTACAGTGCTGGCGAAGGGGGTGGGTGAAGGCACAGGGTCCTGTGTGCCTCACATCTGTGCTTGTATCAGAATTTCCCTTTCTCACTGTTGCCATAGTTAGACATATACATATACTTTTACCTCAGGCTCACAACAATGTTGAAGGAATTGATAATTTTTTTATAAAAGCCTGTGGAGAGTAAATGACAATCTTTTAATATTTTTTATAAAGAGCCGTTGTTGCCTTACATGTATTCTCCCTTCTCCATAAAGAGCTTTGATAATCAATCTTGCCCAGGGCCTTGCGATTGGCTCCACCACCACTGCTTAAATATTGCACTTGCATTTTGACGTAATGATCTATAAGGCCATAGTCACTCACTACAAGAACTGTCACACATTTCTTTCATAAAAGATTCTGTTTTAGTTCATAACCTTGTCCCACACTCCTTAAAAGGTCTATTGGGATGTTATTGTTGTTTATCTCAGAGACCCTAGTACAAAACGATGTTTCATCTGACTTGCTTCTGTAATCTCTCTTGTTCATGTCACCTGTTTCAGTCCACCAATCCAATAGTATTCTAACCTATACTTCCGCAGATTGAACCCACAAAACATATTTTATTAATTTTCATATATTCTTGTGTAAGTGTATTGGGTTCTGTGAATGGTGGAATACAGATAGAATTTAAGTGCACATATTGAGTCAGCTTTGCAGTTACTGATACAGAAACACTAAGCAGCAACCTGGATTTTTACATGGCAGTATGTAATAAAAATCTGATTATGTGCAGTCATGTTATGGGAAGTGCATAAGCTTACATCCTACACATTTTGAATTAGACTGCCCCATTTATGGACCTTGAAAATGTAATTGATTAACCGCTTCACTATAGAACTTTATTCCTTGTTCATATCCTTTTCCAGTTGAACCAAAATTTTGCTCTGTGAGTTTATTTTTACGTACTTCTGTATCTCTTACGGTTTATGGAATAGTTTAATAAATAGAGCAGATACTTTAGGGTATTGTATAGCTTTTTTAAAAAAGTTAACCCTCTACTGAAGCACTGGAGGTAAAATCTTACAGAAATTTTACTAAAATCTAAATAGATGGAAAGGATAAATTATATAAATTTATGGATATCCAAAGAAACACCAAGTATTTGTATTGGTGATGTTAATGATTACCATGAAGAGAATATGAAATAATGATATGAAATATAAAATCAAGTGATTAAGGAGTATATGTTCGTATATTTCAGATTTAATTTCTGTTTAGTTATAAACTTCCTTCCATGGGTGTTGCAGTTGAATTTACACCAAGACATTGATCAAATCCAAGTGGTAACAAGAAATGTTTCTTCAGATTATGACTAGCTTGTGATGTTTTTAAACGTATACCAACAGCATAGAAGTTGTCCATTTTATGATCACTACAGAACTGTTTGTTGGGAGATGGTTCTTTATTTCTCTGCTTTATATGTGGAAGAATTCCTCTCATTGCCAATGACACAGGGTTCCCATTAACAGAAGGGCTATAAACATGTGGAGTTATAGACAGTTTCTGATCAGAAGGCTCTGAACTTAATGTTTGGTTATGCTTTGCTACAAAGTTTATGTTATCGCCAATAATCATGCTTAGGTCACATTGCTTTATTTTTATATCTTCTTTCCTATTAGGTATGTATTGTGGTATTGTATCAATGAATCTCCGTCCAATATTGCACATGAAGAACTCCCTTTCAGGTTGAGTCTGTGATAACTTTTTGATGATGTCACTTATAGTAGGTTTGTTTGCACTCCCATCTTCCCAGTTAATTCCTTTATCAATGGAATAATACTTAGGTTTATTGATAATATTCTCATTGTCTCTACCAATTTTAAGTTTAGCTAACATATCCTCACAGGTTGCTTTGGTATGATCTAATTTTTGTCTCCATTCTTTAAAAAATTCCATTGACTTCTCTGCATCACTGCTGTTCTTCCACCCAGAAGACATTAGTTTTTTTGGTTTCATTGTGACTTCTTCAACATTTTGATAAGTTGTCTCAGTAAGATGAGAAATACTGAGACACTCTTTTTGATATGACCATAACTTGCTTGCTGCTTTATCATCTACTTCTTCTATGACTGAAACTGTATTCATAGGAATTTGCTCAGTTTCTTGCATATCTATAACATCGATTCCCTGTATTTGACTTCCTTTGCTATGGATGACTGTGCTGGATCCAGGTGAAGATTTGTTATTTGGCCATTCTCCTTTTTGCTCTGTTGTTACACAAACTGCAGTTTTGTGACTTTTCCTTTTTGATTTTTGGGTTTTGTTAAACTGATGCGTTGAATCTTCAACAGAATCTACAGTTTTGGAACTGATTTGCTCAGCTGTATTCTCAGTTTTTCTCTTCATGTTGAAAGAATTACTAACTTCATCTTTCTCTGTAGATTTGTTTGTTGATTGATTTGTTCTGTTGCACTTCTTCTCTGTCCCAGTTGTATCACTTGAACTTTTCCCCCAAGAATTCTTTCTCTTCTTTTGTAAGGGATATTCTGGCTCACTGCTGATTTCTTGATCTTCAGAATTCTGTCTTAAATATTTAATTCTGGAATAATTCTTGTAAGCTTTGTTTTCAGATTCGTTATTGAAGTGTTCCTCAGAAATGTCATAAGTCTTCTTGATTTTGTATGCAGTGTCTTCCATGTGACTTACAAATAATTCTTGTTCCTCAGAACTGTTTCTTATTATCTTTTTAGCAGCACTTCTTTTTGTTTCCCTAATATTCTCAGGCCAATTGTTTGTTGATATTTGTTCTTCTGAACTGTTTCCTGAATCTTGCATCTGAATATTGTTCTTTTTCTCAAAAGTAGCTTCACATCCACTGTTGAGTGAGTTTTGCTTTTTCCAACTCTCACTTATTTTCTTGACTTTGCAACTTTTCTTCTTTGTCAGTGTCAGTTCAGTGCTGCTGCAACCTGAATTCTTCAGCCTCCGAACCACAGTTTCCTCCAAGCCACTTATGACTGGTTCATGCTCTTTTGAAGAGGAGCGTGACTTTCTTATTATAACGGTTGTGTTTTTTTGTGCAGTAATGTCAGGCCCATTTCTATCTGTCCCATATTCCACACATTCAGACTTAAAATTCTTTACTCTGCTGCTTCTTCTGTTTTTCTTTATGTTAGATTTAGGTCCATTACTTGATTCTCCTTCATCAGAACCATCCTCTGACTTTTTAATTTGCTGAATATTTTCTTGACTACTGTTGATTAACCGATGCCTGTCACAAATCTTTGACCTGACAGCCTTTTTCATCATGCATTTTGATGTACTATTGGGCAATCCTTGTTCTTTATAGTTGGATCCATTTTCATTTTTCTGCATTTCTTCATCTTCACAGCTGACATACATATAGTTTGTACTACTTTTATTGCAAATGTTTTGATTGTTTTTTACCTTGGTTTCAGAGTCGTCCAAAAATTCTAATTCTTCAGAGTTATGATTCATTTCTAGTTTATCTTCATGTACACTGTTCACAAATTCTGAATCATTTATCTGTGAGTTATTTACATTAGAATTAACATTTGCAGTATACTTAGGATCATTGCTATTTATGTCTTGTTTATGAAAACTATCCTCTGAATGAATTGCCATAATATTTCCCTTTGTTACAAGTTGTTTAGACACCTGGTTGAATAATTCTTCACTCTTAAAACTTGTTCTTGATTTATTCTGTGCAAAAGTGTTGTGTGTACAATCATCACACCTATTCTCCCCTGGAGTGCCGCTTAAATTTTTCATCATAGGCCCAATACTGAATGAACTTTGAACCATTACACTTTTTCTCTTCTTACTGCTGTCAGGACCACTGCTGTGTAATTCCTGTTCTTCGGACCCATCCCTGGGTTTATTTACCATATTACCACTCCTGGTTCGTGATCTTGGAATTGGTACTGTATGGTGGACTTTAATTCCACGCACAGATAAACTCATTCCCAGGTATGGTGGTGCCTGGGAAATATGCTGCCTGTAGATTAGTTCAAACATTCCTGTACTTGCCTTCCTGTCAAAACGTTTATCAACCACCACTAAAAAATAAATGCCACTATGTTAGTCATTCTTTTGTTAAAATTGGTTTGGATTCAAAAATATGAGGGTGGATCATAAAATTGTGGGAATGTTTTTTTTCTCTCTCTTAAAAGACCATATCTTTTAATTATTGTATCTCCTTCAAAGTAATCCTTTCCTAATTGAGTGAATTAATTTCAGTGGCCCTGTGACTTGTTGAAACATTTATGGTATTCTTGTTTTTAAACAATTTGTTCAAGTCACATTTGCACTTTGGATATTTGGCACTTCCTCATACATATTTCCATCTTGATATGTTTAATTTTGGGAAATGGAAGAAAGTATAAGCTGCTACATTCAATGTATAATGTGGGTGGGAAACCAATTGAACTTGTACTCACAATCAGTCAGTTATTATTTCATAGAGAGCAGCATCAAATGGGACAGTGCATTGTCATGATTCATTTTTTCAGGTCATTTGTGTTCTACTTCAGTTTGTTAAAGACTTATGAATGTTAAAATGAAATGCCTGATTATTCATTCTGTTGTCTGCATGTTAGAGGAAGGGCACCTAACTTTGGGGAGGTCTTTTAGGAAGCTTACAGACAAAATAAAACAAACCGCACATCAGTGAAATAATGTGAAGTTCTAGCACAAATGAAGAACACTTTATGGGCCTGTCCATGTCCGTCTGTTGTGTTTTCAGCAGCAGTTTGAACTGGGCATTGTTACAACTACTTGAACAGAAGTTATTGTTGTGCCACATTACTGCAACATTGATACCATTTTTGCTATTGATATTGTTGCATGTATTATTCTCTTGGTTGCCCTGATCACTCTTGATGTGGCATGAAGAACATCTAGATAACTTCAGTGTGGTCCAAAGAGTACACCTTTCCAGTCTTATTTTAAGATGGATGGTTGTGGCATCAGTCATCTTCAAATGTTCTGTGACTGTTTCTTCTTGGAATGCAGATTAGGTTTTTGTTTGTGGCAGTCTTTCCAACTTTCATACAAAAGTTGATTCAAGCACATTTATTATAATGTCAGCCATTTCACGATGTTGTGTCCATTATGAACACAAATATTTTTTACTCATAATGGATGCAAATCATTGCCATACTTCAGTCTGCTGTGAAATTAGTAGTCAATGTTTATGGTTGACTGTCCATAGAAAGTATGTTACTGACAATAAAATCAATTCTTGAATTATATGATCCACCCTCATATGTAATCAAATTTCCAATGAATGAAATATGCATAATCTTATATTACAAGACTCTGACTGGATCAAAATAAATGCCCTAGAAAAGTGACATTAATATTAAGAGGCTACAAGAAATAAGATAAAATTATCACCACGAGATATTTTAATTGCATTGACCTCACAGTTGTGGCTGAAAATAATTTTGTAAAAATTAAATGGGAAGGCAACTATAAACATGAGTACTGCTGGAAAAAGAAAAAAAAACATGTTGTGTAACTAGTAAAGAAGTTGGTAGCAGAAGCAGAGAAAACTAAGTGCATATATACACACACAGCAAGTTCATGTCTCATCATAGGAATGTAGGACAAACTCATATAATAAGGGTAGGTAATAAATTATTAAAAATTAAAAAAAAATTAAAAATTGTGGTTTGGAAGTGACAGAACAAATCAAAATCATATTAATGAAGTTACAAGCAGATTATATGTGATGAAAAATTGCTACCACACAGTTCAAAATCTTTTACCTTCCCATAGCAACTTAAAGGTTATCTGTATTATATGAAAGCCAGTTTGATGTATGGTTGGGTGGTTGCTTGCACTCAGGAAATAAATAAACAAATGTGAACCTCAGTGAAAATGCTGAAATTATATGGTACATAGCTTGGCTTATATTTCTCATTCTTTGTTTCTTTGTAACAGCATTTTTTGAGCATTATTTTTAGCTATAAATTATTTTACATATTATTATTACAGAGTGTTAGGATGTTTGGTTAGGTTCATCTTTGCGTTAAAATGGAAGAACTTCAATTTAAAAATCTGTAAGTATTGGATTAGATTATTTTCCTGCATGTATAATAAATACATTATTAGATTAGGTTCATCAGAAATTTTAAGATCATGAGTCATTTGTAATTCTTCCAGTGAACATACCTGTTAAATGTACACTATATACTTTTACAATCTTGTTTAGTTTTGATATGAATTATTCTAAATACAGTAGGGCACCGCACATACGGCAGGTTAGGGACCAGACTCCCGCCGAAAAGCGAATCTTTGCCTTTTTTCAATTGCAAATGCATATCAAAGCCTAATAAGATCTTTACACTATCATATAGTAAGTGCACAATAGCGCTAGGCCTAAAGGTACAATTTGGCTGCACGCGACAGAGACGGGAGACGGACACATCGCAGCTTGTCGCCACACACTTTTGAGGTGACGACCGAGACATGCGGCAAAGTGATTTTTTTTTCTTTGTTTTGTTGAGACATACGTGCACATATTCTGTGAAAAATGAGTACAAAAATGCTTCTAAAAAGGTTAATCGAAGAAGATGGTGTGTTGCTGTGTTATTTGTTGCGAAAGAAACAAAGAAAACCTATGAGTTCAATATTCAAAACCAGACGTGAAGAAGGATCTTTCTGTCGGTGGTCGGTTTACTGCTACTAATTCTACCAATTGCTCATCTTGGTCACCAGTAAATATAATTTCTGCCATTATTTTACTCAACAACACACGTGCTGCCTGAGCCCGTCGCGAGACACTACTGGTCCGAGAGCGGTCTCCTGTGCTTTGTCTCTGTCGCCTGTCTTTGTCTCGCGCTCGTAATTGTACTTCATACGATTGTACAGAGAGCAGACAGGAAGCGACCAGTCTCGGTCTCGCAATTCTGTCGCCTGCCTCGGTCGCTTGTCTCTGTCGCGTGCAGCCAAATTGTACCTTAAGAAAACGATATGAAAGTAAAATGAATATCAGTAGTACACACATTGCTTACCTTAAAATATTTTCGTCTTCAGCTTACAGTGATTGGTGAATATAAATTTGAAAATTAATATGTTTATAGTAGGAAGGATGAAGGAGATGGCACATCTTCATCATCTGACTCTACAACGAATCTTATTCGTTTCGGTGATGGTTCGGAAGCTCTTGCAGGGGTTGGCGGGACACACTTCTCTGACTCAGCTGTTGAGCACGTGGGGCATATGCACGCAATTGAAAAGCGCCGTATTAGCGGATCGCCGAAAAGCGGGGCCCTACTGTAATTCCATAAACTCTATGTTCATATTCTGTTCATATCTTTAGTAGATATTGACAGCCTACCTTTTATGACATCTTCAAGGCATTGTGAACACATACGGGCAGTGACACTTGTAGTAGACTGCATACAAGGACATGAGTTAATTTCAATTAACCACGGTGAGAAATCTTCACTCAGCATGAAGTCAGCTCCAAACAGCTCGAAACAATTTCTCCGTCTATCCATATATTCTTGTGATGCAAGCAAGGCACATATGATGCTTTGTTGCATGCCAGGGTAGATGCATTTATCCCACATATCGGCATGACCTATTCCTCTGAATAAACAAGCAGTGTTTCTGACTGACCCTCCCACATTTACTTGACTTTCTTATTTTCTATAAGCAAGAGAAATCTTAAATCTTTCTTTATAAGCAAAACATCAAGACTGAGAATTTTTGTTAAGACGTAGGTCTTCTGGGATGTTGCACTATGTAGTCGGTAAACTACCAGACTACATGCTGCAGTAACCCAGAAGACAATCATCTTCATGCTGTCTGCCATGAGAACCTGAAATCTCACATTGATATTATTGACAAAAATATTATCACAAATTAACGAATTAAACTTGTGAGGATAAAGTTGGTTGAGATGACACTAAAATGATATGAACATACCTGAGGTATGTCTGAAATGTGTAGCAGTCCCACATATTTTCATCAGGTAATAGTGGATTTCGTTTTCCATTCTTGTACTTGCATTGCACAGCATTGTTGCATAGATGGACAGATTCATGCATATTCATCAGGTCAAATGGTTGTGAACAGAAACGCAGGTAACTTTCTCTGGAACAGTAATTTATTACACAATTTAATTTGGCAATGTGATAAAGTGGCATGAACATGTGTATTGGCTGTGGGGATCTGTGGCTTCAGGAACTTTTCTGCTCATTGAGCTGTTTGTATTTCTGTTGTAAGAATCTGAGTTTTAAAATTTGTACACTTACCCAGTTATTATTAGAGTAATCAAGAAGGGGGCCATGTAGCACACACTGTGGAGATTAGTAATGCACACAAAATTTGTCTGAATACATGAAGGGAATGAACTGCTTGGGAGACCTATATGTAGATGGGAGGATTCTATTAAAAATTTATCTTTTTATGAACACGTTAATGAACCTTTGTTCCCATGAAAGATGCGTAGCTGAGTAAGTATCAGCAGCTTAGGAAGGACTTTGCTTTGTGGAGTTTGATAGTGACCATTTATTTTAAAATATAAATATGTATTTAAAACAGTTGAAAGAATTGAAATGTGTAATGCTGACAGGAAATTATAATTTCAGGTTCAGTATAAACTTCCTGCAGAGTGAATCTTGATGAATATGATGTCAAAACTGTGAACCAAAATCAAATATTTATTACTTGGAATGGAAACATCTGCTGCTGGCAAGGTAATTGTTATTGTCTTCTTCAAAATCATATCTTGTGAAGTTTTCATATTTTCAAACCTCTGATAAAGGGACTGTGAAGATGTGCAACTTTGGCTTTCAGGGATGAGCTGTGTCGAATGTTGAAAATTATTTATTGTTCTGGCAAGGCTTCTGAAAGTGCCCAACCTTTATACATTTACACTAAAGATGGCAATGTTTGTCAAAATACTGGATAATTCTTAATCTCCACTGCAGCTCATCCCCAAACTCCGAAGTTGCACATTAAACTCTAACCATGAAAACCAAAGGTCAAGAACTGTAAAGATATTGTTCTAGACCAGGGGTCGTCAATTGTTTTATACCTACCGCCCACTTTTGTATCTTTGTTGATGTTAAAATTTCCTTACCGCCCACCGGTGCCGCACGTACTGCCCATCACCATACAGCTCGAAGACCGAGTGATGGCCGGTAGTGAGCCCCCTCATTATGTGCACTAAACTTGTGCCTTTGGCTACGGAGCTCATCCATTGCTCCCTCGTCCACGAGTATACTTCGAGAAGTGTCCGGTTAATTATTATTTATATTCAAAGTTTAGAGATGGAATTCAAAAGTAAATTGCAAAAGCATATTTTAAAAAGTCAAACTCACGAAGTTGTTAGCAATGTATTCGATATATGGACGAAGAATAAAATTTGTAACAATGGACAAAAACCCCACCGCCCACCATGAAAGCTTGAATCGCCCGCTAGTGGGCGGTAGGGACCAGGTTGATGACCCCTGTTCTAGACAATGCTATGTCCTATCAGTTTCACCAGTGGACTTATAAACTAAAAGAGAGGGAATTCATATTTTAGGGCTTGCAGAGTAAAGAAAAAAACTGCAGAGGCTTTCTGTAATTAAGACATTATTACAGCAGAAAGTATATTACTTCAAAATAGTTTAGAAACTGAGGCTCAAAATTATGTTAATGCTCACATGACTGAAGAAATAATTCTGCTAACCAGATTTCATAAAATGACAGTCTTGTTGTGCAAACCTTCATCATTTATACTATCTATATTTACACACTTTATGGCCATATAAACTTACTTGTACATCCAGATGGTTAGTGGCTGGGCACTTGTGACCAGAAACCACTGACGAATATCAAATTTTGTATCATGAATAAGTAGAGGGTGTTCTGAAATTAAAACAGAAACAATGATATTCAAAATTTAGGGATTAACAGTGGTATCAGAACCAGAACATTGTCTTTGCTCACTGCACATAACTGACCTATATACTTCTGCACCACATATCTGGACTCCTTCATTGCTACAGGGTTTACTTTTCCCATCACTGTGTCAAGTTTGTTTATCAGTTGAATTCCTCTGCCACGGGACTGAGCGCTAGGTTTAACTATCCAGATATTGTTTATACCATCAAGATCTATCTGAGGCCAGAACTTCCTGATATCAAGAAGAACATGTTTTGCTGAATCATATAAATCCTGAAAGTACACATCGAAGACAGGTTGAAAAAGCAATTATTATAGAGATATTAACACTTCAACACTTGTTTATATCTCTATAAGAATAAGACATGGCATTTTATTTCTAAAAGCAGTAAGAAATTCGATAAAATCTTCTCGGACAATCAGCTGTGTTAAATGGTTAAAAGATGAATCCTAATGATGGGTATAGGGATGGTCGCTGAAAACGTCGGTTTCATCTCAACAATTTCGACGTGGCAGATCGCTCAAGAAGATTTTATTGAGTTACTTTGGCGTGAAAGCTTCAAATTATATAACAGTAAGAAATTGTTAGGTAGACGGGTAGACTTGATTACCTTTAAATTAAATTGTTAGGTAGACTTGACTTCCTTTAAATAAACACAAAAGTATACTGAATAAATTTGTGTACATGGTGAATGGCCTTATGTAAAGTGATAAAGTGTGAGGACAGATTGGGTCTCAGAGCTGTGTTATGTTCAACTCTGTAACATAGCAACATAACATAATGAGAAATGCTGATGTTGCCATAGTATAGACTCTGTAATGCAAATTATAAATGTACAAATAAATTCGACATATCACAATGGATATGGTTCACAACATTGGGAGGGACAGTAATATTTGGAATTAAAATATATAGTTGAAATGTAATTTTTGTACATTAATACTAAAAGTATTTAGCATTGTAACGTAATTTATGTTTGATATTACAAGTGGGTAACCAAAAGTTGTTGAACCCTCTAAATGGAATAGCAGAGAAATTAAGAACCATAGACAAAATTTTAAAGAATACTGAGAGATATTTAATCACCACACAAATATTCTCATTTTTAGATATTTCTGTAGACAAAATATATAATATAATTCAGGTCTATACACAAACTTTAGCAAATTTTAAATTTTAAATTTTAACATCTGTAAATAAAGTTTGTGTATAGACCTGAATTATATTATATATTTTGATTATAAAACACAAACATGACGCATTTAAACCTTAAATTTCTGTAGACATTTCTTTGAAAAGTGTTCCGACCTTTCCATGTTATTCTTTTTATGTTTATACATAAATAAATTTGACAAATTATCCATTATTTTACTTCATACTCAGTTACACTCTGAGGTACGGACATTTACATACCACAACAGATGCTGTCCTGCATTCTAACAGGAGAAAGTTTTCATGAACAGCCAAGTAGTACCAAGTGAGGAATTGATCCCACTGGTGATCCCATATAGAAATTGGTTCTGGCTGGTCTATATCCTCATGAGTCTGCACACCAATATATTCTTGGCAACGTTTAAGTGCAAATTCCACAGCTGTAAAAGGAATCTGAAACACAGTATTACTCAGGATTTCATGTAGTTCCCTGGATCTCTATACGTTTGATAAGGAACTCTGTTTAAGCTGTACCTTCCCCTCTGCAGACTTTAAAGATGATTCTCCCTGTTTCTCATATTTACTCACTAGCCATTTGAGTAAACCAAGACACGCCGTGATCCGAAAATCATGTGTGAATGCTGTTAATTCATCTGGCTGGCACACATTGTAGCATCGTGGAAACAGGATGTGAGATACATCATTTTCACAGAACCAGTGCATGTGCTGCAGACAGGCACACAGCCCCACCTGTAATGCATCGACTACATATAAACAAATATTATTGATGCTGTTTTAGGGTTCTGATGGGTTAGACCTTGCGGGTTTCAGTACTAACAGTACTACAAGTAATTATATTCATAACAAATCAACATGTAGATTCTATGTCAGTTTTTTGTTGTTGTTATTGTTGTTCAGTGTCGAGTTATAATAAATCATCTTTCATAATCTTCAAACCAATGAACAGTATATCGTCTTCTTGCAGTTTTCTAAAATTCTCTAATAAAAATCACAGACATCTGAAGACGCATGACCATACATTAATTCTGGATTGTAAATTGAGTGCTGGTAGTCTTGTATACAGAAAGGTGTTGGTTTACCATACAAGTTCTCATGGCTGCCATATTGGTATTGTTGATAGCAGGTACTGTGAAGCTAATCAGAGATCTGTTGATATCCAATGGTATGCTGTTCCTATTGATTTTCTTGAATATAGGTTAGTTACCCCAAACTTAAATCTGCATAGACTGATGGATAGGCAGACACTTGTGGCTTTAATCTTCTTAGCCTTTGTTAGGTTAGGTGTGATTCTGTGTTGCATATCAACAAAGAGTGGGAAGGAAACTGTAATCTTATTTCAGAATTCTTTTATATAACAAGTGTGAGCTTCTGAAATTGTAATCAGTCGCTTGGTGTTGCTATATAAAGTTTTATATGAGGGAGTTTTGCAATGCTATCAAGCCTCCTTAAGTCATTCATACATATAAATATTTTCATACTTAACTTTACACCCAGTCTGCAGTGAGGTTAAATAGAACATTGCTGAAAACAAACAAATGCAGAACAGTAAACCTGAACACACACACAAGTGCATATTGCAGATCTGATGGTGTAATCATATATTTATTTTAATAATAGTATTAATTACTTTAATTATTAATAACCATGTGTATAATTACCTTAGTGGTAAAATATGCTCTTGGAAATCTGTTGACAATTTGTTTTCTCTGAACTGCTTGCCAGTCTATGGGCTCACTCCTCATCGTCCACAGGAAGTCGACATTGACATTACGAAGAAGTCGAGCTGTGAATAGTGCCTCTGTATTCCTCCCATCTGTTTGTGTTAAGGTGGCAAGAAGTGATATACTGCTTGGAATTGAAGCTGCAAATTTAAAAATGTAAATGGGAGGCTGAATTGTTTTATTAAATTAGAGAGACAGTTTCATAGCAATGTGACATAATTTGACCCCTTGGTTGACTTGGTTAATTGGTCACCAGTCCATGACTGTGCATCTCCTAATAGTTCCATTCTCTGTAGTGTATGGCTGCAGATGTTATCAGTATGTCAACTAATAACATATGGAATTTTAATATTCTTATTAGTATATTATAACTTGGAAATGGTATTATTAACACTGAAACATGTTTCTAAAACATCTTGAAATGTATGTAAATGTCAATTTTAGAGTAATAAGTGGTAGGCATTTTTAGTGACATAGTTTCATTCAAATGACATTGATGACTGAAATTATATTTAGGCCATACATTCCTTGCTGTAATGGAAGAATTTCTTACCATCATCCAAATGTATGGTGGTTTTGTTTCGAGTTGTCTCCTTCTCAATCCAACCTCGTTGTCTCATGGCTTCACGGATTGTTGGGAATGTTCCTTGCACAGTGAATGTCTTGTGCTCCTGTAGAGAGTTAAAATAAGTGAAACACTGATTAAATGCTTTAGAAGCTTAACATGCTGCATATAAAGTAAAGCATTCTATTAAAACCAGACTACACGGCACAACAGCCCAGAAGACTGCAATCTTCCTATTGAATTGATCATTTATTATATCCTTCTTAGACCCAGATTATTTTGTGAATGCTTTGTTATTTGTGGTCTTTGCTCACAGAGATCACATTTCATGCAATACAATGGTAAACTACTGTTATTCATTGCATATCCAAAACCAGCATTTTGGGAAGTAGATGAGGTGACAACAGTTTTTGATCTGAATAACAATATGCGTTTCCAGAATGTATTCTTCTCTTAATTTTTTCATGACCCTCTTTTGTATCAGTTAGCGTTGTTTTCAAATGCTTAAATTTTGAAACATTAATTACATATAGGTTTAGTAAATAAAGACTTCATTTATCATGTTAGATTAATTTATGTATGTTTTTTTCTTTATTTACTTTAGACCAATCCCTTTATCTTCGCATTAATCATCATAATAGTCATAGTTATATTCTCCCACAAGAAATTAATAAATCAACTTTACCATTTTAAGATGACGCACATCAAAATAATACGTAAAAATCCAGTTCTTGCCTCAAAAAAAGAACACAATGTGTCTCAATTACAGATATCAATTGGTTGACACTGTATAGGGAATAAATAGCTGTTTATTCTGACAATAATACAAAATCCAACAATAAATTCTGGACAAAATGCAGAGCTATTGTTTGTTAAAGCAGGTGGTACATATAGTTACCGCTACGGTTTAAGAAGTTATACAACTACCTCATTTACTTCATTCAGTTCCGGCTATAATATTCTTAATAAATGTAACAATTTTTTGGCAAGTTAGATTACTCACCCTAATAGCTCGTTCCACTGCTTCCCTAACTTTCAGCAGTTTTTCACATGACAATTGAGTGGAATTTAATGACTGCGACACAGACCGACTGAGCGATCCCTCGTTACTCGCACTTTTCCTACGCTTTTTTCCGGATTTTGGTCTGAACCCCTCAATCTTCACAATTGTATCCGTTTTATCGCTGGGATTTTGTCTGTTGGGAACTCCACTTTCGTTGTCTTTCTCTGGTGCATGCTCTAACACTTCAGGTATCTCAGAGGCCACTAGATGTACGTCTTCGACAGGTTGTTCTTTTATGTCAATATCTCCTTCACCTACTCTCAAATCCTGCAGCTTCGCCGCTGTTTCGTTTATTACATCCATATCTGCAACACCCTGTACAGTTATCTGTCTTGGGCACAGTTCAACGACATTTTTCACAGTTTGTTTTATAATTTCCACATCCTGGAACGTTCGCAGATTTTCTTTTCTTAATTCAACTACTACACTGCTCTTATTTAATTCCTTGACATTTTGATATTCTTGCCCCTGAGAACCATAAAATTCGTCACCCGAAACGTGATTTGCTGAAACCAGGTATATCACTTTGCTTATTTCTGCCTCTTTATCTTTATCATCCATTCCTCTGTCCACGACGTCCTGTTTACACGAGGATTCCATTCCTTTCCTACTTCCGATATTGTCGTAGAAGTCAACCTGGGTGAAATCCGGCATGTGTATGTTGTTATAATACATAGTTGATAATCATTGTAACAATGCGATATCAGAGTATGCATTGTTTGGATGTTTCGTATCAGAGAATCATAGCACATCCGGATGTATTATAAATAACTCTGAGTATTTCTGTACCTGTCTGTGTCTCTGACCGCTGCTTTGTGCCCTGTCTCGTGGTTTTCATCGTCCTCCTCTTATATGCGCATTCTAGCGTGCGTGACTATTAACCAGTCACGTAATTTCCGCGGTGTCTCGCACTGCTTTGACCTGGATACAACTCACGGCATTAAAATCAATAGGTGCTATTGTATGAGATCACTGGTAATACATCAATCAAATAGATTCATGTAAGCCTGTGGACCCATGGAAGGATATCTGTGTTTGGTACTGCACTGAGGTATTTTTAACAGGCTGGTTCCACTTTTTCCATTATTTTCATAATCAGCAACTGCTCTTGAAGAAAGGATGGGTTTATTAAATGATCACGCTAAATGTATAAAAATAAATTAGTATCTTAAACTTGGGCAAATGCGAATTGTCAATTTAATTTTATTACGCTTTTACCCAACCCAACTTTCATCCTACTCTGGCCTTTTCTGAAATGAAGCCATCGAGAACTGCCTGTTTTTGTTTTGTTTATCGTAAGACACGAACCCAATACGTGTATAATCATATGCATTAGGTTTGTATCTGATTGTAAAATAATTTTTCCCCTTTGACTGTAAGTGATAAAATACAACACTCCTGTCTATTTAAAACAGAAACTCTGCTAATACTGTGTTCGCAGTGTTAAACATCGCTGTACAACTCCATTTGAACTTGGGAAAACACTAGTCAGAAATGTAAAACCAACTTGTAAAGTAACATCATGACAGCTCGAAAGCCAGATATTCTCGACATTCAGAATAATGTTATCCGTGTTCAAGATAGCCTGAGGAAAGCAATTCTAGCAGCCAGAACAAGTTCACACACGGCAAATAATGAACTGTTAACACTGGTGTTTAAATAAACTTTGCAAGCCGATTTGATCTTGTTGCAAAAAATTAAATGTTAACACCTGTCAACAAAATATCTACTGGAATCTATTAGTCATTACGGAAAGATGTCCCGCTACACGCCGCAGAGGCGCTTGTAGGAGATGTAGAGCTTCTATTCGTTCTTGACCCCAACGCTAGATGGTGGGTGGTCGGCGTCACGCCAAGGCCGCGCGTTGAGACCCCGGTTTCCATTGGACATGAGTCTGGTTGGACTCCAGGGCCGGTCTGGAGATGGAGGCTACAAGAAAAGACATTGTCGGGTTTCGAACCTCGGTCACCCAATCCGTAGTTAGACACATAACTGACAACTGTCCAATATGTTACAGTAGTTTGGGGTTTTAATTGTGAATGTTTTTAATTTGAAAATCCATATATTTCTTTGAAATTATTTTTGGGGTATTGTTTCAAACTCGATATTTTCAGTTTTTCTTGAGCAAAATTTACTCCCGGCTTGCAACCGCGAAGCTCCCGTTGGTTGCTCTTAGAATTTATAAAAAGTGGTATGACATCACCCTCCCATCCCCCAATCATTAGGCATCGGCTATGTTTCACTGAGGTAGACAGCTTTTATTTGAAACCGTTTTCGACAGGGACCAGTGAAATATAATTATCAACACACCTATTATGGTTAGGGCTGCAAGAATAGACTTGTATCAGCAGTAACATGGGCCTCTGTCCCCATTGCTGACACTCTAAACAAACTGGGTGTAGTAAAGCACTGTAGAGCAATGCATATGACTTGTTTCCAGTTCTACTACCAGTTTTTCATATTTGTAAATATATCGGAAGTCCGTTGCATATATTGCAGTTTTCATGAATGTTGCACCAACGTCGAAAACTGTGCATCCATGTCTTGAAAAGGCTAATGTGTGAGATAAAAGTGTTTCAGTGGAAGGAAGGCTGGTTGTATGAACTAGAATGCGGAAGGCCTTTAAACCACTAATGGGTTATATTATAAATTGTAAGAGCAATTGGTTCCCTACTTAATATAAAGCGATGCTGTTAATTGTTATTGATTTATAAATTTTGAATATTTTTGGTTGTATGTGAAGAATGAAAAGTTACAGGGTTGTATGACGCATAAATTGAACTATGTTTTGATGCGTCATGTCTTCCACTGCCTGCAAACGTAACCCGGTTCGTTGTGACATCAAATCAAAATGGCGCTGTTGTGTGTGTTTGATATGTTGATGTGGAAACAAATACTATAGAACTTCTGCGTTCATGCACACATGTTCCTACGTATACATCTTTCCGAAATGCCACTTATGTGTTTGTAATGAAGTGGGTTGTAAGTTTACGTTTAAGCCTTTATTTTTGTTTGAATTTATGTTTATGTTGAGAGGATCCAGAATTGGGCCTGTTATCCCACCTGAGGAATGTGAAGATTTCAGACAACGTGTGATTTGGATGCATAATTTCTGCCGTAAAAAGAAAACAGTATTCAAGTAAAAATGTATAGCGTATGGGAATTGGCTACTGTTTAAAGTACATAGGTGATAGTTCGTGCAAAAGTGATTATTCATGTGTGAACATTCCACAAGACAATAGTACCACCTACAATAATTTACTTGGTCAGTTTTGTAATTATACAACTTGGACAGTGGAAGTATGGCCTTCAATGAGGTGAGTAAATATATATACGAATTTCAGGAGATATATAGTATGTTCTTGTTTGGTGAACAGTTGACATGTAGATTGTGTAAACCTTTATGTAATCACTGTACTTGTAGCTTAATGACAGGCCAGCCATATATGAGCACAGAGATGTATAGAACTGGATCGTCTGTTTCATTCATGTGTTCACAGGGCTCTTTAATGACAGGTTTCCTATATTTGAGGTTATAAACTGAAGTGAATTTTAAATTTCTTAGTTTTGGTTTCCTGAGTTAGGATGAAGTGAATTCGTTTACTTTAGAGTATAATAATTTATAGACTAGATGCTAAACTTGGTCTTTGAAACATGAGTCTACTATGCAGGGACAAATGTGTACAACAAGCTTCTTTTCAAAATTAAATGTCTATTCACAAACAGTAAATAATTTACTTGAGCCACAACAGGCTATTTAGCCCATTCCATGACGATGATGACTGTAAACAATTTAAAATAGCATGTAAAGAATTATTTTTGACTCACTTTCTACTTGTTGATTACTTTATATTACTAAGAAATGACTAACTTATTGTAATCATGTGCCTGTAAATCTCATGCATATTAAAGTATTTCTCCTGCCTACATAATACATTTTTAATTATATATTAAGTAGGGCCACTGCATGTTTCAGTCTCTTGCACAGCAATTATCAGGTGGCACACAGTACATGATAAAAATTTAACTGTATGACAGTGTTTTGAATTGAATGTTTTGTTTAAAAAAACTACTTTTTTACTTTATCCATTATCTATTTTTTTCATAAAATCTTAAAAATCAAAACATTTCAGCGGATGGACTGCTTTTTCTTCAGGTAAAAAAGGTTGTAGACATCTGTTTCACTGAATCTGGTAGACTGAGCTATTCCTGATCTGTCCAAATGAAAGAAAGCAGTATTGCAAGGCTCAAAAAGTCCAAAAAAAAGGAAGCTGTTTTACAAGATTGTTGCCAAAAATTCCATAAGATAGAAAGGAGTAATAAAGACCATCGCCAAAGACATTCAGATAATAAAGCATCAAATCTGTCATGAATTATATGGGTCCTGCATCTGCACTTAATTGTAGTTTATATAATAATGTGGATTTGGCAATAAAATTTGGATAATATATCTTGTAGGAAATAATACTATTTTTCTGAACTTCTGTCTTGAACGTCAAAACCTGTTAAGTCAAAATTTATATTATTACAAGGATGTGTTTACAGTAAAAAATTCTGGGGGATGGGGTTGTAATATATATGTGGTACTTGCTTTTAGCCCAAAGGTAAAGAATGTGTTGATCAGCTTGTCAGAAATGGATGTGAAGAGAAGGCCATAGTGCCAATTTGTCTAATAATTGTATCAAATAGTGGATGTGCAAAGGAATTATGTTATAAATTTTCATTGTGTTCAGGTGAGGATACAAAAATATGTTGTCTATACTTTAATTACTTTTATTGGTTTTTATGGCTTATATATGTTATTCGACTCAAAAAGGTTCTGACATTGGTAGATTTCACTTAAAATTATTCATTGTCTGGACTTTTTCCAACATCCTTGTTTAATATATGTTCTTTGTAATGCGCTTTGAGAGTGTTCCCAGTCTTGGCAAGCCATTTGGTAGATGGCACTGCTTTTGCTTTTATCAGTATGGTTTCGTTTTTAGTTTTGAATGGCTGACAGTGGTATTTGTATTTTCAAATTCAATGTGGATATCTGTGTTTTTGAAAAGGTTAGTTGTTTTCCTGGTATGTTTACCTATGTGTGTAAAAATGGTCCAGTTTTTATATTGGTCGCATTGTATTTTCTTATTATTATTGAGCAATTGTGTTTATTGTTGCTATTGGAGAATCATTTTTATTATGTAACATTAATTATCAATAGGGAGCTGGGGTAGCTTAGTCATAGTGTCTGACTACAGACTGGATGACTTGGGTTTGATCCCTGGTAGAGGCAAGGGATTTTTCTTCTAGCCTTTGTGTACAGACCAGCTGTACCGCACTACATGATGCTATAACCCAGAAGACAGCCATCTTTACTTATTACCACTTATTTCAGGTGTAATTTAACCTTGTTTTGTATGAATATGAAACTTGTTCTCTCATCTGAAGGGCTGAACTGAGGGTGTTTGAGAACAAGGTGATGAGAATATTTGGACCAAAGGTCATGGAAGAAAGAGGAATGACCTGTTCTTCAGTGCCTTTAGCATCTGCGGGTCCCAACTTTTCGTTGGCTTTGATCTATTAGACAGATGGTAGGACTCCTTGGACGAGTGATCGGCCGATCGCAAGGCCTCTACCTGTACACAGGACAGCACAACACAGAAAGACACAGA